TCCCAGAACGTCAGTTCAGTGTCCATGATCTCCCTACATAGAATTCCAGAGGATAGAGAAAGGCAGAATTTGTAGACCTGGTGAGGGTTTTTCTCCCCATATCCATGGATATGGTTAGAACTTTTGAATTTCAGAGCTGAAAGAAGGCCTTGAGATTGTCTAAACCAGTTGCCCTCATTTTACAGATGAGAAAGGCTTCCCTTGGTGCCAATTGAAGGAAAGCCAGGGATGAATCTCACCACTAATATACTAATACAACAAGAAGAAGGGAAGACTGCTTGGCTTCTTTCTAATCAAAACCATAGCCATGTAATGAGTCCTGCTCTTAGGGTCTACCAGCCCCTCATAGCTTTAGCACACCCACACACACAAATTCTCATGTGGCTTAGACCAGTGGGGCACACTTAGTCACCATTATTGGCTCTTTCTCTGACCAAGGAGACTGTCTTCAAGTACTTCTTTACCCTTTCTCTTTGCTTCCATTTTTGTGGTGGGGCAATTGTGTTGTTTGAAAAGAATTTTGCTTTTTAGCTAACTGCTGGATTGTACTTCACCTATATGTAAAAAATAAGGCTGTAATGATAAACCCAACAATTATAATTATAACAGTATGCATTATAAACTCTGCTCTCTTCAGTGGTGTTGCTGTTAGTTGTTAGTAAGAGGTGTCCTGGAATCATGCTCTTAATTAAGCTTATCTTAAATATCATTAATGGATAGAGCTCTTAAAAGGAATGAAAAAAAAACTACTTTTCCTTCTTTCAAATAAGCCAAGAGAGAACTATTAGTATGGTACCTGACAAATAATCAATCAATAAACATTAATACTGGGAATACAAAAAGAAGCAAAAGATAACCTCTACCCTCAAGGATCTTACAAACTAATGGGAGAAACAACATGCAAACAAATGTACACAAAGCAAACTATATACAAGATAAACAGGAACAGTGTAGGAACTAGAATTAATAATTGGGGAAGGCTTCAGGTAGAAAGTGAGATTTTAATTGGGACTTAAAGGAAGCCAGGGAGGAAGTGTAAGAAAACTGGAAAGGTAGGAGGGGGCTAGGCTATGATGGGCTTTCCATGCCAAATAGAGCATTTTGTTTTTGCTCCTGGAGAAAATAGTTATTCCGTTATTTCTCAGTCATATCTGACTCTTCATGACCCATTTGGGGTTTTCTTGGCAGGAAATATTGGAGTGGTTTGCCATTTCCTTCTCCAGCTCATTTTACAGATGAGGAAACTGAGGCAGACAGGGTTAAGTGACTTGCTCAGGGTCACACAGCCAGTAAGTGTCTGAGGCCAGATTGGAGCTCGGGAAGATGAGTCTTCCTGACTCCAAGCCTGGCACTCCATCCACTGTACCACCTAGCTGCCCCCTGGAGAAAATAGGAAACCATTGTGAACCATGAACCCCAATTTGAAATAGAGTCTGCTCTAAGAAAAAGACAAATGAAATTGGAATACATGAGTCCACAGTTTAATTTCTCAAAGTGGCTTGACATGCACTGCATGGGATTTCAGTCCAAAACTGTGCCCCTCCTAAGGGGAGCAGTTCAAAACTGGCTTGGTTTGGGATTTTGAGGTACAGTATTATAAGCCCTTCCAAGAGCAGGTGTTCCCAAGGGGGTGCCACTCAACCATGATTGGTTGACATACTAGGAGGTGTGTGGGTTCCTTAGATCACTCAGTCCACAGGGGCAGATTTAGATGGCCATCAAAGGAACTGCCACCCCCGTTCTTGGAAGTCTGTCTCCAGCCAAACCTGAATAAAATAAATTCAGGCCTGGGTTGCAGTTTGACCAAGATAAGAAGATTCTATGCAATTTTATTATCAGAGATGTCCTTCTGAAGAACTTTGAAGCAGAAGGCTGGCAGGGTGGAGCTCTGAGTCTCCAGGACTAAGATTACCTAGGGAAATCATTTTTAACATCACATAGTAGGCACTTAATAAAATTTTATTGACTAACTAAAGAAACATAATAACAAGATACATGTCCTCACTTACACACACACACACACACTCGAAATTGGAAATGATTTTAGGGTTTCTTTTTTGTTTTGGTCTAAACTTATGGTTTCATTGATATTTGGAACTCCTTGTGGGGAAACTCCTAATTCAATTTAGAGAACTTAATTGTCTGGGACATTGAGAACTTGTGACTTGCACAGGATCAGACAGTTGGAATATTAGAAGCAGGATTTGAATCCAGGTCTGCTGAATCTGAGGCTGGCTCTACCCATTATACCCCCCTGCCTCTTAGCAGAATTAAGTAATTTATAAAAATTGAATATTCAGAATATTGGAGAGTAACCGATGCCCTAAATAATTTAAAAATAATTTATGTTGGGCTTTAGTATATGTTTTGTTAGTTACACTTTAATATTAGTATGCCGCGTGACAGCGGATAGAGAGCCAGCCTTAAAGTTAGGAAGACTTGTATTCAAGGCCTACCTGTGGCATGCTTTGTGACCCTGGACAAGTCATTAATATCTCAGGCCTCTGAACAACTCTCAAAGATAGCAATTGGCAGAGAAGGTGCCAGCCTACATCAGAGAGCTCTCTGTACCAATCACTGTCCATATCCCCTATGTGGTTCCATATGATCTAGGGATTCTCTGTACTTCAAGTAAATTTGTGAAATCATACTGAGAATCACAGATTCATAAAGTATTGGAAAGTTGTGCTGCTTAGGTACCCTGCCTCCTCTTCACCTCTTCACTAAATGCAACATGAGCTTCCACACTGAAATTTGTCCCTATGAAGCTTGCTGAATTTGATCTAATAGCTTCTCAGGGTTGGGGAAATTTAAATATTTTGGTTAGAAAGGGCTGCCTGCTGGGCTGCAGTCTGCTTGGTGGAAAAGAAGGGAGAGTAAAAGTAAATAAGAAATAATGAGTATTATCAACAAATGACTTTTTATAATCCCCTCTGCTTAATTATATTGTGACATTTGCCATATGTCAATACAATTTGCAAGTCTACGTTTAGATTCTTCTATTGTGTGAGTCAGCCATGATAGCAAGAATTGACCCATGTTCCCAGGACCTAATTAAAATTAAGGAGTGAACCTAAAATGAATTAAAATATAATATATAGAATTCTGTCCCTTTTTTCTTTTTGCTTGGTTTTTATTTGGATCTTGTTGGGGGGAGGGCAGAATATTGGATTGCTTTCTCCTAGACAGATAGATATTTGATTTTCTTTACTTTTTCTTTGATTTGCATTTAGATCTGTTTGGAGGAGAGGGGGGCGGATTATTGAATTACTTTCTCCTAGGCAGACAGATATTTGTGATTTTAGCCTAATGTAGAAGGAAAGATTATTTGGACAGGTGTTTAACAGAAATGAGCAGTAAAGAGATGAGAGCTATGTATATGTAGATGAAAACTAGAGACTAGCTTCACTTATCATTGATACAGGGACAGAAGTAACTAGTCTGAAATGACCAAAAATCAATCAACATTCTTACTTATTCACTGTTATAGGAGACAAACATAGGTAGGAGGTTGTTTAAATGCTTAAAATACAAATTACAAATGAAGTAAAAACTACATTTCTGGAATAGAATCTTTTTCTAGGAACATAGCATTGAAAGCTAGTAGGAACCTTTGAAGTTACCTAGTTCTGTTCCCCTAATTTTAGAGACATGCAAACTGAGGCTCAGTAGAATATGGTAACAAACAGTGAAATGGGTAAAAAGTTAATAGCATCAAAAACAAACCCCCAAACAGGCAGATTTTTAAAAAATCTAATCATCTTCTAGACAAGTAAATTAGTGCTTATTAACTTTTATCTTTTTACACTCATTTTTATATCATGCTGTCTCATTATAAAGCTCTTCTTAATTACTTTTCATAAGCAATTGTGCTGTTAATAAAATCGTGAACTTTTAATTTTTTGTTATTTTTGTTCAGTTATTTTCAGTTATATCCCACTCTTCATGACCCTATTTGGGGTTTTCTTGGCAGAGATACTGGAGTGGTTTGCTATTTCATTCTGCAACTCATTTTACAGACTAGGAAACTAAAGCAGACAGTTAAATGACTTGCCCAGGGTCACATAGCTAGTAAGTATGTAAGACTGAGTTTGAACTCAGAAAGATGAGTCTTCCCAACTCCAGGCCTGGCACTCTATCCACTGTGTCACCTAGCTGCCCAAACTTTTTGTATGTCCCTTTAATTCCTGTTTGGGGAGTAAAACATGAGTAACATAAATCATCAGTGTTTTTTTATTCCTTAGCTTTTGACTTCAAAAAGCTTTTGCCTCAAATTTTGTATATATTTATACGCATATATACATATTTGCACACAAGACTAGGAAGTCACGTGGCTGATTATCTGGATTATTATGAACAGATTTAATCACCCAGGAACTGAGGTACTACTAGAAGCAGAATGGTTGGTAAGGGGTGGGGGGAGGGGAACTACTGTTGAAAACAAAACAACACAAGAAGTTTGTATTTGAGAATGTACCTTGATCTGATGAGGACCTTTTCTTGTGGTAATAGAGCTCATGTCAAATTGTAGAGCTTTGAAATTTAGCCAACCACAAAGTTCTTTTTCAATCTTGTCTTTAAAGTTCCACTTGATGTTTGGGCCAAAAACAACCTAAATTTAATTAAAATTTTTAAAAACTCTACTTGGTTTTGGACATCACATTACAAGAGAAGAACCACCCTGCACCTTCTAAATGAGTTGCTGGCTCACTAACAATTTGGATTAGACAACTTCTGTCTGATTTTGTTAGCCCCACTGGCTATGTTTTCCCTTTGAGACAAGAGATGAAGTTCTGTTGTGACTTGTGGATGACAAGTAAAGAAAATGTCACCCTACATCCTTTACCTGCTAATAATTATGTTAAAGCATATCCAAAATGTTTGTGTATTTGTACATTTACAAATAATTGAATAAATTAATTCAACCTCTCTTAGCTTTACTAGAACCTTGAATACTGGAATTAGTGGTTCCTAAAATGCCCATCCTTCTCTTTCTTTAGTGGAATTGGTCGAAATTGGCCTTGGGCATCTGGAGGAAGCAGTATTCTGGCAGAATTTGGAACCTTGCATTTGGAGTTTGTACATTTGAGCCATTTATCCGGAAATCCAGTCTTTGCTGAAAAGGTGAGAATCCCCAGCAAAACCTGTATTTCAAAAACAACCAACTCTAGAAATATTTTTTTTCCTGGAATTTTGGGCATTTCTGTGTATCCTATTCTTTAAAAAAATATATTTAGGTGGTGCCCTATGATAATGGGTTAAAGAAACTGGGGATGTCTAATCTAGACAAGAGAAGACTCCCTGTCATCTCCAGGATCAAATGCAAAATCCTCATTTTAGCTTTCAAAGGCTTTCATAAACAACATTTTCAAACTTGGGGGGAGGGGCGGGGGGTAAGATATAAGACAAAGTATTCTTTGATCCTGTAACAGTGGCCTCCTGGCTGTTCCATGAACAAGCTACTCCACCTTTCAGCTCTGGGCTTGTCAGGCCTGTCAGGATCGCAGTCAGGAATCCTTTTGGGTATGCGCTTGGCCTAGGTGGCCACCAAGGTCCCTTCTAACCCTGAAATTCTGTGACTCTTTTGATTTCTATGAAGCAGAGGCATATTTTGGGATTAAATAGTAATTACTTAATTAACATTTACCAATGTGATATTTTCGGTTAATCAGCCCTCAATTTCTTGTGAGAAGAAGCCATTTTTCATTTCTTTGGGAAGAACAAGAATTTTCCAAAGATTTTGGACTTCTGCTTCCCTTGAGTAACACTGGCAAACCCCTTGGAGCAAGGCTTCTTAACCTGGCATCCACAGACCTCCACCATGGGTAGATCTCAGGGGATCCATGAATTTACATGGGAAAAAAATTACATCTCTTAATTTGCTAACATTTGACTTCCTTTGTAATTTTATGTCTTTCATGCAGTCAAAAACATTATTCTGAGAAGAGTTCTATAGGTTTCAGCAGCCTGTGAAAGGGTTATGACACACACACACAAAAAGATTAAGACCCCTTCCCTAGAGCAAGAAGAGTTAAGAGAAGTAGGAAATGGGAACATCCACAGACTTAGAGGTTTAACAGATAACCCTTCCCCGTTTGCCACATAACCAGTTTCTCTGCTGAATTAACTATCATTTAGAGAGGCAGCATGGCATAGGAAACTGAGCACCCTGAGTCCAAACCCTACAAGTGCGTGGTCATTAACAATTTGAGTGTACAGAGTGGTATCTGAGTTGGACTTGAAGGAAGCTAGAGAGTCTTTAAAAGGAAGAGGTGAGGAAGGATGATATCCCAAGCCTGGAGGACAATTTGTGCAAAACACAGGAAGGAGATCGTATTGAGTTTGAGGAATAGCAGGTAAGTCATTTTGCCCGGATTGTAGAGTGAGTAACAGGGCAAGTAATAAAAAGTAAGGCTAGAAAAAATGGGTTGGAACTAAGTAGCAAAGGATTTCAAATGCCAGAGTAAGGATTTTCATTTTATCCTAGAGGGAGTAAACAACCACTAGAGATTTTGGAGAAGGAGAATGGGGGAGTTAGAATTGTATCCTAGGAAAATTATTTTGACAGCTTTGTGGAAGATGGATTGGAAAGGACAAAGACTGGCAGCATGAAGACCAATCTGGAGGTTATTTTAGTAGGCCAGGTGATGGTTTGATGAGGACTTGAATAAGAGTAATGGTCGTGCAAATAGAAAGAAGGGGTTGGACGGAAGAGATGTTGTGAAGGTAGTTTTGAGGAGACTTTACAACTGATTGAACATGGGGGGAAGAGTTGCGGATGGCCCTAAATTTGCCACTGAAAGTACAGTGGTAGCCTCAAGAAATGGGGAGTTTTTGGATGGTTGTCCGGGAAGGAAAGAGAAGAGGGATAAAGATAGAAATCTATATAATATTTTTTAAAGGATATCTATAAAAACATTACAAAATAAATAGGGAAGTTTGGAAGAAGAATGAGTTTGGAGCAGGGAGTTGAGAAAGTTATATTCTATTTTGAACAAATTGAGCATGTGATGGAACATCTAGATAGATATGTCTACCAGGCATTTGCTATGGGACTAGATTTCAATTAGGACTTCTTGTTCCTAGAATCAAGATTAGTGATTCCTAAATAGTGAAATCCTAGGAAGAACACTATTCCAAGAATCAGGAGTCTTGGATCCTAGTCTTAGATATGCCCCTAATTACCTATGTGGCCCTAGGCAAATCACTTAGCTTTTCTACTACAATTTCCTAATTTGTCAAATGGGGTTATTAAAAATTTCCCATATACATCATAAGATTATTATGAGGATCCAGAGGTGGGAGCAGAGTGTATGCGGAAAGGAGAAGGCAAAAAAAGCCATAAAAGCCATTTGAAAAGAAATAATGTAGTATAGAAAAACTACTTTTACATGACTTTCAAAGAGTTTTTCTCACAACAGTTCCATGTGGTATGTGTATTTGTATCCCCATTTCATTTTATCACCAAGGGAACTGAGGCTCAGAAGTTAAAAAACATGTCTGTGGGAATGGATGGATAGATAGATAGATAGATAGATAGATAGATAGATAGATAGATAGATAGCATTCCTTCAAGAAGGTTACATTTCAATATGAAAAGATATATAAAAAAGAACTGGAAAGTGGAAGGAGTAAAAAGAAGGAATGGTGGGGATACTTTAGTAATGAGAAATAACATTGTAGTCCCTTTCCCTGGCATCATTATTATCATCACAATTATAATAACTAGCATTTATACAGCTCTTTTAGGTTTCTAAAGTGCTTTACATATATTATCTCAATCCTCACAACAATCCTTTGAGATAATTGCTATCATTATTTCCATTTTACAGATAAGGAAACTGAGGCTGAAAGGTTAACTGACTTGCTCAGGGTCACACAATTAAGTGTCTGAGTCAGGATTTGAACTCAGGTCTCCCTGACTACAAATGCAACGGGCCTGTTCCACCTACCTACCTCTAACTTAGTCAGCAATGTTCCTCTAGATAGACAAAGGGCTTACTTACCAAAACCATTGGAAGCCAAGAATGGAGGCCTAGTTTCTGGTATGGTGAAGATGGAAAAGTGAGGCCTTGGTGGGGAGATGCAAGAAGTCACATAGCTAGTAAGTATCAAAATCAGAATTTGAACTCAGGTTTTCCAACTCTAGGTCCAGATTCTGACGATTATGCCATCTGTAAATTTTGCCATTTGTGCAGCAAAATGGTCTTGCATTTTATGTTTTCTTTGACAAGAATTACCTTTGGACTGGAAAGGACAAAACAAAAATGGCCAAAAGGAAGCTGATACCTTATTTAAATAAAGAGGCAGTAAGAAACTCTTCTTGAATTCAGGTCACCTGGCCCACATGGCCTACATCCTTGGTTCCTAAAAGATTGGTTAGATGTGATTTGTCTCATTTGATCCTCACAACAACCCTGTGAGGTAGGTACTATCATTATCCTTATTTTACAATTAAGGGGACTGATGCCAACAGATGTTAAATCACTTGCCCAGGGTCACACAGTCAATTAAGTATTTAAGACCAAATTTGAACTCCTTCATTGTTCCAAGTCATGTACCACCAACTGCATCCAATAACAAGATAATACTTAATAGGATAAAAATCTTTCATTTGAGTTTTTAAAAATTTGACCTTATGAGCACAAAATGAGGGAACCATAATTAAACAAGCATTAGAAAATGATATGAAAGTTTTAGTGGATGTAGAATGAGTCAGCAATATGTACACACACGTGCACAAACACACATGCACACACACTTTTTCATTGTGTACACATCCATTTATTCACCAAGCACTTATTAAGCATCTTCTGTTTGCTAGTAACTGAATATATGAATACAAAAATAAAACAGTCCCTGCTCTTAAGGGGTGTATGTTCTTTTAGGAGAAAATAACATGTACACAGATAAATTAATACAAATTGTGCAAAGTAATTTCATAAGGGAAACTAGCTGTACACAGTACAGTTTATTATATATAACCTGACACTGCTGGTTTCATAGAATACAGATGAGTCTGTACCAAAACAATTCACTCTATGAAAGGGCTTTGTATTAAGGTGGCATATGATGGAAAATCTAGCCTGTTGTTAACCTTGAGATTTAAAGCTCACATATGACTTATGTGGAGATTCTAAGTCAGCATTCAATGATGTGACAGTCATTGTCATTGCTAATAAATAAACTGATTGTTTCAGCCCAATTGCTTATTAGTATCTCCTTTTTAAAAAAAGTAGCACAATAAACAGTCTTCTTTTCAATGTGAATAAGAACCATGCAAACAAAATTAATAATTAACTTTATTTTAGAACAATGTTGTCATTAAGACATTTGAATTGATAGGTTTTTAATTTTTTATATTAAGAATGAACCAGGGGTTTAATCTTTGATATTTCATTCCATACTACTTACATGTTTTTTTTCCTAAAAAAAATGCAAACATTTAATTTATTTTTAGATAAAACTATGAGTTGTGTACTAGTTTCATGTTGGAATTTTTGTCATCAAAACATGCCATATAACGGAAAGAGCACTAGATGGTAAGTCAGGATAGGCTCAGCCCTGCTCCTTATTAGCCCAATGATCTGGGCCAAGTCATTTTACCTCTGGAAGCCTTAGTTTCTCTATGGGTAAAATGAGGTTGGACTAACTGATCTGTAAAATCTCTTCCAGTTCTGAAGCTCAGGCATTCTAAAATTTTTATCTTCCATTTTAGGTGTTTGGAATTCGAAATGTTCTGAACACACTGGATAAACCACAAGGCCTTTATCCCAACTATCTAAATCCTAGTAGTGGACAGTGGGGTCAACGTAAGTCAAGAACATGTATTTTTGTAATTATTTCTATCTCCCACTATAACTAACATGGATAGGTCTGGAAACTGTGGGTGATTTTTTTAAAAAAAGCCTATTAATGGTTAAAATGTTCAGAGGAATGTGGAGAAGCCACAGATTTGGATGTTTATGAACCTTGTAGTCTAAATGGGATTTTCAAAATTCACATTACCTTATGAAAAAGGAAAATCCAGGCTACAAAACATTGCCCAGTTTCTGAATTTTTAATGTTTAATGATTAATGGTAAATGTTGTTATGCAAATTTCAGGTTTCAGAAAAGGAGAGGTCATTCAGAAAAGTAATTTTTCTCTTCCCTTTATATAATTAACTTGCTTTGAGCTCCTTTCTCTTCCCCTCATTAAAAAAAAAAAACTTCAGATCACCTAAACCTTGGTAGGTTGGATTTTTCCATGAACAAAATGAAGTAAAGGATTATGGGCTTCATGCTTAATTTTTAAGCAGTTTGTGAAGGAGGTTGTCTTTTGCAGTATTCCTTAGTTTGTTAAATATTTATTGTGTTTCCTTGATTTGTCTTCTTTTAATGAATTTTATTTTTCCTTTTTTAGCATTTTCTTCCTTTTCTTTTATTATTATTCTGAGATACCACTCTGTGCTAGTCACTAACATTCTAGATTCATTTGTTGGCTTTGATGCCCACAATAAGAGGCTCTATGCTTATTGACAGAATAATCATCACTCTCTTGTTTGACATAATGAATACTCTTCATTGGGGAATTTGTCATAGAAAAAAGAAATATGAATTGAAAATGGAATGCATAACCCCTTTCTCATTTTCTTCTATGCATGTCTTCTGTCTTGCTACATTTATGTGCTCAAGTTTTTAAAAACAGAAACAGATTATTCTGTCATCAATAACTAAAAAGAAATGTGTGGTATTCATGATGAGTTCCATTAACGTTATTAACTTCAGAGCAATGTATTTCTGCTAACTTAAATTGGTAATCAAGTAGGTAAAATAATTAGACTATGTTTTAAAAGCTGCCAAAAAAAATTTTTAAAGAATAAGACATTTGGTAAATATGTTTAGTACTACAAAAAGTCTACACAAATCAAATGAAGTCTATAAGAATTAAAAAAGATGAAAATGTTACATTGTCTCTTTTTTCAAAAATCAATTTCAATTGCTGTCTTTTCTCCATTTAAAGTATTAGGGACCCCTATCCTCAAATACTCGCCCCATGCTTAAGAGTAATTTTATGGAGCCTGACCCTATCAGGAAAGAATAAATTACTCTCTTCGTCAAAGGACATTAACTTTCACGCTCTTAGAGTCCCAATTTAGCGAATTTGGGCATGAGAATTGATGTTCCTTCTAGAAATAGTCAATCCTTTCTCACTGATAGGATCAGTGAGTTATCTCCTAGGTCCACTAACATGTTTACACAGAAACATTGTCTACAAAAACAATCACCCAAATGCAGAGTGGAGGAAGATTCCATGGTTTATTGAATTACCAAAAAGACAGCCTCTTACTTTTTCCTGTTTGTATCATTGTGATTAATTCTCTCCAAATATAAGGATGTTCATGGTTGAAGAACATGGAACAACCAACCGTGGTAATTTCCAAAATGATTTAAGGAATTTCTCTCGTCAAATCATACAGCCATTCCATTTTTGTTTTAATCCCCAAGTGCATGAATTGTGCATTTTCAATACATGGACTGGTTGATTAGTTTGACTGAACATTTATTTATTTGCTTCCTTTTTTTTTTGTTTATAAGGAATAGCTCTCTGGGAGGGGGCGTAAAGGGGAGAGATACAAAGGGGAAACGTAAGGAATGTAAGAACAAAAGTTTTAATAAAAACCAATGACAACATGCAGAGGAGAACATAAGGAAAGGTCACAAGGTAACACAAACAACCAAGACATAATTGAGACTATTGTGTTGAGTGACACATTTTTTAAAAATGGCACATGGTAGAGATTAAGTTTGATATATAATCCTTTTTCTGTTCTTTTATATTGAGTTGTTTGTTAGATGTTTATGTTTGTAGTTTGTGTGTGCGTGCGCACCAGTGCATGTATGTGTGTGTGTGTGTGTGTGTAAGTGATACTTACTACTACTATAGGTAATGCTCAGACTAGGTTGTAGTAGTCTCAGTAACATCACTCCAAGAGTGAAAAAAGTCAAGCTTCCGACTTGGCTAGTTTTTAACTACCATGGCTATGCTTAGGAAGTACAGAGCTGGACCATTGTCATTGTTCCAGTAAATTCATTTAGTCCTTGTTGTTTTGACAGAAACCGGACAGTAATTTGGTTTAACACACATCAACTGGATTTGACTCTTAAAAAAATGTTTATAATAATAGGACTTATTATTGATGAAACTGTGGTTAGGCTTTTTTAGTTTGCAAATGTCAGGGATTTCTGTGATGATTAATTTAGTAAACTTTAAAGGTCAGTTCAAGCTATTATTCAGAAATGAACCTTTCAGTATTGAAAACAGACTTCTAAACATTTAACACTGTTTTCGATTCTCAATCAGCAAAACTATCTTTTGACTAAGTGAAAATATAAGTCTTACCTAAAAGTTATATTTCCATTTTTGTAGGTATGGTCCTTACTTGAAGTTGATTATAAGTTTTGATAACTTGGGTAATGGTAGCATGTAAAAGAAAAATACATTGGTAACTACATTTTAATATTCATTTATTTGTTTCATGTAACCAGCTCTTCCGTACAGGCAAGAAACAGAGCATTTTACAGGAAAGATTTAATAAAATGTTTTAACATTTCAAACTTAAGTTACTCCCAGCGGATCGGCTTACCTATGAATTGTAAGAGTAATATTTTAAATGGATCATTTTTATAGTGGGGGAACAGGCAAAACTGAAAGTAAAAGCATGAATTTCAAGTCAAAAACCAAAACGTTTGTTTCTATAAATAGTAAAAATCTACCCCAATATGTAACCTGGGACTCAAACTTCATATATTAATTGTGTTTTCTGTGATACCATGCAGAAGTTCCTGAACTGAATAAATGTAATGTTGTTGTTGCTTTGTCTTTTCAGTTATGTCTGATTCTTCATGACCCCATTTAGGGTTTTCTTGGCAAGGACACTGGAGTGGTTTGCGATTTCCTTCAGCTTATTTTACGAAGGAAGAAACTGAGGCAAATGGGGCTAAGTGACTTGCTCAGGGTCACATGGCTAGTAAATGTCTGAGGCTGGATTTAAACTCTGGTCTTCCTGTTCTCTATCCACCATGCCACTTAGCTATGGAAATAGAATCAATAATAATCCAATAATCCTTCTCTTCATGACAAGCCCTCATTCATTCATGTAGGAAGAATACACTAAGATATAATATAGAACAATTAAATACACTTGAAATAAGGATTTACATGAAGAAAAATGATAGCAATATTTGATTTTTTTTTATTTTCACAAGTTAAGCAATGGTAACAGAAATTCCCTTCCCAAAGGACATCCCAGCCTGTGAACTGGCTGCATGGCTTTAGTTGTGGCTCAGATTTTTTTTGTAGCAGGTACAAATTTAGTTTGGCAAAAGGCTGAGGAGATCATGAGGGTTTTTTTTTAATGTAGAGTGTTAAGAACAAGATTATTTTTATTTAAGATTAAGCCACTGATAGCTTCAGGCTTACATTTAGAAAACCATCATGATAATGAATTATAGTTCTGATAATAATACATTGTATTAGTTGATAGTCACAGTTATTCATCTCAGAATATTCTTCTATAGGATTTGGTATTCTTGTTCCTGACCACTTGTGGCATATTTCCTAAACTGAAGTTTGTATCACTGCAAAATTCTTTATTTCCCAATCTTTTCAGATCATGTATCAGTTGGAGGACTAGGAGATAGCTTTTATGAATATTTGCTGAAGGCATGGCTAATGTCAGACAAGACAGATTTAGAAGCTAAGAAAATGTATTTTGCAGCCGTTCAGGTAAGCCCAATGTTTAAATCATCTTGTCATACAATTCTAACCTCTAATGTTTCTGCTAAACCTACTCCTTTAAAAAAGCGAAATTATATATTTGTGAGTTACAGAATGTTGTCACTGCAGTAGAGGTCAACATTGATTGATATACTTATAATTAGAATAATACTTAAAATATTTAGTCTTAGAACAGTTAAGTTTTTAATACATATCAAATCTCAAAATTTGCATACCTGGACATGGAGACAGTCTTTGTTTTATGAATAAAAGAGTTTTGGTTTGTTTGATTTTTTTATTACCAAGCCACAATTAAAGTTCAGAAGATACTGAGTCTTGATGCTATGTTCACTGACTGGATAGAGTCCTCCAAGGTTGAAGATTAATCAAATGACCATCTAACAGTTTTAGACTGGTAGCTACCCCCACTTTAAAAGCTGGCAAGTACTTTGCCTCTTGAAGAAAATCTGTATATAAAAACCTACATTTTATCAAATTGATAAATGAAGGCAAGTTTGTTTACATTAGAAAAGGATTGTTCTATAAAAGGATTCACTTCTGGGCTCCTTAGAAAAAGAGTTTCTCATTGCATTAAACTTTTGTTCACAGATGGAAGTGAATGTCAAATTCCTTACCCAAGGCTGATAGAGATGGCCAGGGAAGTTTAAAGCTAAACTACAAGGAATCACTGCTAATTAAAGATCAATCAGAAATTCAACTTAACATGCATTTACGGAGTGCTTGATGGGTTTTTCAATGCACTTTCAGTGGCTTTTTTATTTAGGCAGTTGGGATTAAGTGACTTGCCCAGGGTCACACAGCTAATAAGTGTCAAGTGTTTGGTCTGAGGCGGGATTTGAACTCAGGTACTCCTGACTTTGGGGTCAGTGCTCTATCCACTGTACAACCTAGCTGCCCCACTTTAAGTGGCTTTGTAGGAAATACAGAAATAAATAAGAAATGATCTAGAGATCTTTGAAATATAAAGTCATAGGGGAAATTATTTAATTTACAAAAAATGAGAATTCACATGTAACTAAAAAGAATGAATCTATTGTATAAAGTGAGTAAGACTTATTTTACAACTTGTAAAGTTACCCACATCAAATGAAGTTATGTATGGAAAGTACTTTGCAAACCCTAAGCTCTACTAAAGCTCTACCAAAATGTTAACTATTCCTAGGATATATTCATGAAGTGGTTATCGTATCAGTAATTATCACAGTTTTGGATGTGTTTACTATTCCTAATGCAATAAAACAGTGCTAGGCATCTTTCAGGTATTATATAAATATTGATTAATTGACTATGAATTCCTCAAGCCTTGAATATTTTTTAGAAATTCTAAGTGAGACTAATGCATTATTGGTGGACTTCTGAACTGATCTAGCCATTCTGAAGAGCAATTTGGAACTATGCGCAAAGGGCTATAAAATTATGCATACCCTTTGACTCAGCAATAGCATTTCTAGGGCTATATCCCAAAGAGATCATACAAATGGGAAAAGGACCCATATGCACAAAAATATTTATAGCAGCTCTTTGCATGGTGGCAAAGAATTGGAAATTGAGGGGATGCCCATCAATTGGGGAATGGCTGAACAAGTTGTAGTATGTGAATGTAATGAATACTATTATGCTATAAGAAATGATGAGCAGGCAGACTTCAGAAAAACCTGGAAAGACCTGTATGAAGTGATGCTGAGTGAAATGAGCAGGAGCAGGAGAATTGTACACAGTAACAGGCACATCATTCGATGACTGACTTTGATAGACTTAGCTCTTCTCAGCAATGCAAGGATCTAAGACAACTCCAAAAGACTCATGATGGAAAATGCTAGCCACATCCGGAAAAGGAACCTTGGAGTCTGAATGCAGATGGAAGCATACTATTTGCTCTCCTTTTCTTTTGTTGTTTTGTTTTATTTCTTCTTTGTTTATGGTTCCTCCCATTAGTTCTAGTTCTTCTATAATACATCATGACTAATGTGAAAATATACTTAATATGAATGTGAAAAAGAAAAGAAATTTTAAGTGAGAATTAGTAAGGGAAAAGTGGTAATTTCACTAAAGTAGAAATGAATACATAATCAAGAATGAGTAGTCATTATTTTAGCACTGTGTCTAAGCAGTCTAATGTGAAAACATTGTTAAATGCTTAGATCAGTCTGGTGTCACTAAAACTTGCCCTTGTGAATTAATCATATGGATTAGGTATCACTTTCTGATATGTTAGTCAGTCAGTCTGTAAACATTTATTAAGCACCTACCATATTTCAGGTACAACATGACTTTAAATTTAAAAAAAAAAAAGATCATCCAGTTTTGTGAGGCCTAATGAATAAAAATGGGCGCCTCTTAAATTAACCAGAGAAAACCAACTTTTTGGTCCAAGTACAAGTTGGAACCTGCAGGACTAGAGTAAGAATCCGTACCACAAGGAATCATTCAACAAGATTTACCAAAGGCCTAATGCACACAAGATCCAGCTAAATGACCATGAGGATTGTCCTGGTCGTTCTCTTCTTTAAGCTTTTAAGATGCCAGATTTTAACCTAGAACAGGGGTTTACAATCTTTTTGTGTCATGGGTGCCTTCTCAAAATAACCTTTTTAAATAATTGAAAGAAATTATACATTTCAGTTTAGAGCTTAGTAAAAAATGAGAATGTAAATTTTTTCCCATATAAGTTTACAGACCCCAGGGGTTACTATCTAGAACCTTTCTTTGTATAATGATGTTAGTCCATTAGACATTGGTAAAGAATAGAAAGAGATACCTTATTAACTAAAGGCTTTATTATTAGTGAATTACTTTTAGGAACCATTGACACAGAAATCCTAGCCAATTCTTATGGTTTCCTTTATGCCACATTCTAATTATTCTTACAGTAGCCTGCTTGAATATTCTAAGTTGAGTTGTTTTGATGTTCTAAGAAAGGCACCTGACAGTTTTGTGATGTTCTTTTAGAGGAAAATTGTAACCCACAATTTATAATTCATTCCCTTTAGACAACTCATTGACAGGAAAAACTCATTAAGAAGAAATCACACAAAAAATGTTTCCTTTTTCTCTTAACAGTTAAAGCAAGTTCTCAATCCATTCAATGCTCTAGTTAGGAAGCAAAACTATAATAATTAAGCTCCTAGTTTTGAAAAGCAGCATTTTTCTTAAGAGAAGCGGCAACAAATTGCACTTACAGCACACAGTGGTTATTGTCAAGATGACATACACCTAAAATTCTGGTGGGTACAAACTTGTAATAGAAAGAATTAGCCTTAGGGGAATTATATTTAGAGTTTTCTGGTATTCAGAATACAAGTGCAGAAAAAAGCTGGTTGGATCAGATTGGCCAGCATTTTACTAGCCTCAGTTTCAAAATAAAATTTGGCAATTGCTTGGTCCCATAACCGTATATTTGTTTTGTTTATTTTAATACATTTCTTGCAGCCTCAAACTTACTGTCTTCTGATTACTCTCCTCACTAGCCACTTCACTGGGATTATCAGCATGACATGGCTCCATGTCATTTAATGAAAACATTCACTGAATGGTGCTGCAGAAAGAAAGCACATATAACTCTTCCTTCATGGTCACCACATTTAGAAATCTTAAAATGTGACATTCGTTCAATGATAATTTATTAAGTATGTGTGGAGCACTGGGCTAGGCGCTAGGGGATGCAAAGACAAATATATACATATATATACATACATACATACATACATACATACATACATACATACACACTCACACACACACACACACACACACACACACTCCCCTTGAGAAGCTTACATTCTACTGGGGAGAAAAGATGTGAACATATAAATCTAAACTATATACAGAGTAAACAAAAAGTAATGTGGTAGGAATAGAGAACAGATTTTAATAACTGGTAAGACTGGGAAGTCCTACATAGAAGGTAGCACTTGAGCCAAAACTTAGAAAGAAGCTGGTGATTTTAAGATGCAAAGATGGGAGGTAGGAGGCATGGGAATCAGCAAGACTGAAACATAGGGTGTATGAAGGGAGAGAATCTGCAATATAGCACAGTACCTGTTTTGCACAGACACATAGTAGGTACTTAATCATTAACTTGATCACTGATGCCTGAAAAGATAGCCTTGAGACATATTGGGAAAAGATTTAATGGTTAAAAAGAAGAGTTTGTGTTTTATCCCAGAGTAGGGTTCTTAGCCTTTTTGTGTGTCCAGGACCCCTTTGGAAGTCTGATGAAGCTTATGGATCCCTTCACAGAATAATGTTTTAAATGCATGAAACAAGACACACAGGATTAAAAAGGAAACCAAAGGTTAGTGAAGTCAGTCTCTATTTTGCTTGATAAAGCAAGCATCCATGATATGCAAGACACTGTGCTAAGCACTGGGGATATAAGTAAAGGCAAAAATAGTCCCCACCATCAAGAAGCTCAAAACAGTTATGTATACACATGATATATACAGGATAAATGGGATTTTTTTTTCCATTCTGAGACACTTGGGACCCTTGATTAAAAACTTTTGCCCTGGAGACAATATAGTATGCACTCACAAAATATGTGGTATCTGTTTATTTGAAATAAATTCCCTATAGTTTTTATGGAGAATGTGTGAGGAATCACTAATAACTATTTGTCTCTCTTTTTGGCTTTATTTTATTCATAGACCTTAACCCCATTTTCTACTATCCCCCCACCCTCACTACGAAAGCAGGAGTGAACCACCCAGGGCCAAGGGCCATTTTGTATATTTACCTCTTACATTTGTCGCCATGGCTTAAAAAAAATAAAAAATCACCTAGGTGAACCTAGCTAAAACCACAGTGTTCTTCTGCCTTAGCTTTAGAGAACTCAGAATCATCTTCATGATATGATGTCCTAAATAATTCAGACTATGACCACAGAAAATTATTCACTTGTGGAACTGGTTACAGTATCACGTGATTTGGGACCTGGTAACTTGATCAGAATCATGCCAAAAAGAGCATAGGACTTTATTGAGGACCCATCACAGGACAAGAATGCATCTTTATCCATGCTCAAGTGATTACTGTTGTTATGTAGAAAGAATAATTTCTTGGATGATGAATAAGTCTCTGCTTGAAGGACTTTATTGCAGCTTGTGCTGTGAGCAGTGTAAACAGCTAAGATGTTCCATTATATCGAGAGAGTATGAAATATTAATTTAATACTAAGCCCACTATAAAATTAGAATAACCAGAGTTCATGAGCATAAGCATTGTTCATTCAGTCACTACTATTTTGATTTTAGTTATCATTTGGTATACATAAAAATGTCAGGGAATAGGAAATATAAAATGAGCTTACTATGTGTCTACCCAATCTTGATTATGAACTCAATTCCATTTTAATGAACTTAAGTGCAGCATGAAGAAAATAGACCCAGAGATACATAATAAACAGCCTTCTTCACCTTTATACAAAACATTCCATCTTCTCTTTCCATCTATGAATGTCTAGAATCTCCTTCCTTCTCTCTTCCTCTTAGAATCCCTGGTTCTTTTCAGAGCTCAACTCAAATGCCACCTCCTACATGAGGCATTTTCTGATCCTTACCTCTAAATGTCTTTGCCTCCAAATTACATTGTATGTATTTGTTTTTGGTTTTTGTTTTTGGCTAGGCAATGGGGTTAAGTGACTTGCCCAGGGTCACATAGCTAATAAGTGTTCCGTGTCTGAGGCCGAATTTGAACTCAAGTCCTCCTGAATCCAGGGCCGGTGCTCTATCCACTGCACCACCTAGCTGCCCCTACATTGTATATATTTCAGATCCACTTAATATATGTTTGCATTGTCTCCTCTGGTTAAATGTAATTTCCTAGAGAGCCAAGACTGTTTTGTTTTGGGCTCTGTATTTCCCGAGCCTAGCACAATTATTTGGAACATACTAGGCTCTTTATAAGCCCTTATTGATTGATCGACCAGAAATAAAAATTCAATTCTCACATGTAAAAAAAAGTATTAATTGCTCAATTACAATGGGCAAAGTCCTGTCTCCAGGCAACCTTTCCTAACTTGTAACTCTGATCATGGCCATCCACTTCAATGACTCCCTGCTGTCTACCAAATAATGTTCACTCTTCTTAGCCTCACTTTCAGGACTATCCATATCAAGATTCCAGCCTTCTTTTCACCCTTATTTCATCATTATTCCCCATTTCTAACCATAGGCTAATTCAGGAAGCACAACTGCATACACTCCCACCTCTGTGCCTTTTTCTCATACTTTTCGGGACATCTCTGATGTCACCTCTCCAACCCTCACCCCAATCTCTGCTTTTCCATTTCTTATCCATTCTTAAGGCCCAACTCTACTCTCCCCATGCTGTGAAATCTTTCTTAATTATCTCTTACCCCACCCTTGTGATGTGCTCTCCCTCTCCCTTTTTACTTTCATAGCACTTTGCTCGTAAAATTTATGTATATATATATATATATATATATATATATATATATACATATATATATATGTATATATATATAATATATATACATATATATATATGTATATATATATATATATATATACATATATATATATGTATATATAAACACATACACAAGTATGAATGCATGTATATGTGTGTATGCATATATATCTATATGTATCTTTTTTTCTTATATAATATTTTGCCCTCCTTAGGAACAAAGATTCTTTCTTCTTTTTTTTCTTTCTCTCTCTCTAAAGGTCCTATTTCAATTAAACACACAAAAAAGTACTATGAAATGTAAGTGGGGAAAGCCTTGAATTGGGAGTCAGAAGACCTGTGTTTGAATACTAGTCCTACTTGCTTACTATGGGTATGACCTTAGGTAGGTCACTCAGCTTGTTCAGACTTCAACTCCCTTCTCTGTAAAATGAAGGGATTGGAAGAGATGACCTCTGTGATTCCTTCTAGCTCCAAATCATTGATCCTTTGTTTTGCCATGAGGTAGCATTACAGAGACAAAAGCAAATAGTCCTTGCCTTCAAGGATCTTACATTCTATTTTGGTGATACAATATAAAAGTTAAATAGAAGGAATTATGTGATTTAAAATACATACAAAGTAATTTGAAAAGAGAGTAACAGCAAATTGATGGTAGGAAGGGAGCAGCAGGGATCATACAAAAGGAGGCTTCTCAGCTAGACTTAATGGAATATAATAATTGTGAAAGACAAGTGAGGGGGTGTTTTCTGGACATGGGAATTACTGCCTATGAAATCATGTCAGATACTATATCCCGACATTTAAAGCTTTTAGCAACATAACTCCAACCTCCCCAGGTTTAGTATATGTTCCTCTTTTTCCACACACTCTCCACTGTAGCCAGACTGGCCCTCTTGCTTTTATTCCTCACACACCGAATTTGTCTCCCATTTCCATGCCTTTTCACTGGCTGCTCCCCTCTGCTTCCCGTGAGTGAAATGGAATGCACTTCCTCCCCATCTCCTCCTTTTAGAAGGCCCAGCCCAGCTTAGATGTCACTCCCTACATGACGTCTTTCATGATCCTCCTGTTAATTTCTTCCCCTAAAAAAAAAGTACCTTGTGTATATTTTGTGCATACTTAAGCATTTATGTAAAACTGTACATAATGAGATTCATGTCCCCCATGCCTGGAATGCTCTTTAGCTCTACCTAATGTCTTTCCTGGCTTCCTCTAAGTTCCAACTAAAATTGCATCTTCTACAGAAAGTCTTTCCCAAATTCTCAATTCTAGTGCCTTCCCTCTCTTATTTCCTTCCTATTTATTCTGTATATAGTTGATTTGTGCATGTTTGTTTGCTTGTTGTCTTCCCCCATTGGAGTGTAATCTCTGAGGGCAAGAAACTGTCTTTTGACTCTTTGTATCTTCAGTTTAGTATAGTGTCTGGTATGAATAGGCACTTAATAGATATTTATTGACTGACTTATATGATGCTCTTTTTCTGTTCTTTGTATATGGAAATGTTCATGGGGGGTGTCAAATTCAGAATAAATAAGTAAATAAATTAATAAACAAATAAATGCATAGCTAAATTAGTCCATCACTCAACAGGCATTTAAGTGTATACCTGCTATATGCCAAACACTGTGCTAATATAAGACCAAAATATAAGACCAAAAAGAAACAGTGCCTGTTATGACAGTTTATATAATTTACTTTTAAACTCAAAATATTCCTGTTGAGAAATTTAATTCAAAGTTTATTTTTTTTTAAAAAAACATGTTTTCATAGAAGAACTATACCTGGAAACATCCCAATTTTTTTCTCATTGTAGTGATATGCTGTATTTCACACACAAAGATGTTACTGACCTACCACTAGTAGGGCCTATGCATTAAGTGTTGTTTTTTCTTTTTCTCCTATTCGTGGGGATGGATGTGCACTGCTTCATGGGTCCAAATCTCCCCTCACACTCCCTATGGTCTATGGTATTTCTTAGAAAGCCACTGAGATCAAGTCACTTTAGGAATCAGGAATAGAGTCCATCTGTAGCTAAGGAACAAAGCAAAATTAGTTAGGATTGAACTCATAGCTTTGGCTACATTCCATATTCTGGCCACCTTGGACTGGAAACAAAGTAAACTAGCAATATAAAATTTCAGATCATGTTTTAAAATTTTTTGTTAGGTTCACAAATAGTTTGTTGTTGCAAATGGACTAGGTACATAGTCAGGAAAAATCTGGGTTCATATCCTGATTTTCACTCTTAAACCAGCTCTTGGACAAGTCACAATTTCTGTCTGCCTCAGACTACTCCCTATGATGGGTTGCTGCCTAAATTGGATGTTATAGCTGCATTGGAATTGGAATCCAAAAAATCACAAGGGCCAAAAACAACCATTCAGTACTTTTTTTTTTTAATTCCGGGGATTTATTTATTTATATAGCTGGAGAAAGTGGGCAAAGGCTTAAATTGAAATCTTTAAAATTTAAAACTTTAAAATGAAATCTCCTTCTTAGGCCATTGAGACTCATTTAATCCGGAAATCCAGCGGTGGTCTGACCTACATTGCAGAGTGGAAAGGTGGCCTTTTGGAACACAAAATGGGTCATCTGACTTGTTTTGCTGGAGGCATGTTTGCGCTTGGTGCAGCCTGTGCTTCTCCAGAGCTAACGCAGCATCACATTGAACTTGGTGCTGAAATAGCCCGCACATGTTATGAATCATATAACCGCACTGGTAAGTACCATGTTTCTCTTTCTTTGAATTCCTCTTACATGGCTTTGCTTAAGTATAGAAAAATTAACTGTTTCATTTTTAAGTATACTCACAGACCTTTTAAGTGTTCTAAATCAGACTTTAGAGCTTCAAAGACCTTTGATTTCTTAGGTCTATGTACTCACTCGCTCCCTCCATTGATGTAGATCTAAACCCATCCCTGCCTTAGTAGGCAATCTTTGTGGGCTGCTCTGACAGAAAAGAAAAATCATTAGAAGGGCAAATTCCAGGTAATGAGCTTCTCTGTATTTAGCTCATTTGATCTTGAACAACATACATACTGGACCCAGACTGAAAAGCCTTTCTAGCTTAGCTTTGGTCATACTTTTTTTCACTGAAAGAGAACAGCCTTTGAGAAGAACCCAGGTCTCTTCCAAACAATGACAGCATCAGAGTAGGACTTCAGCAGAGGTTCTAAGTTATGCTCCCTAAATATGTCAACACCATTAAGTATGAAAGATAGATAACTGAATAGTTAATTATATAATACTTTCTTTTTTTTTAATTTTAATATTAAGAACTATCACATGTCACATTTGATACTAGGTTAATAAATGTTGCAGTCTTCCATTCATCTCCATAAACTTTTCATGTCATACTTTTATAGCGTACAAAGCACATTCCTCAGGACAATCCCATGGGGGAAATATAAATATTATTAAGCTTATTTTGTGGGTGGGGAAACTGAGCCTTAAAGAAGTTAAGTGCCTTGTGCCCATAGCCATTTGTTGGTCAGTGACAAAACTTGGCCTCAAATCTAGGTTTTCTGATTGCAAGTTCAATGCTCTTCCCACTAAGCCAAGCAGCCTCTTCTTCATGGTTATTACTATCTTCTTTAGATACAGGAGAAATGAATTGCAGGCAAGAGAAATAATTTGCTTTGGTCACAATCAGTTAGAATTCTCAGCCTCCAAACTGATATTGACCTAACTAGGATACAATACTTCACATTACCTTGCATACAGACAGTAAATACTAATAAATGTATGATGAATGAATGAGTGGAAAGTGAATTGTGTTTGGGGTTTGGGAGGTTTTTTGCCATTTTCTAAAATACACTTACGACCAACTTCACTTAGGGCATATAATCAATATTAAGTATTAAGTGGAATTGTGTATATCTGAGTAGTTTCAGAGTATTCAACTTGCTATCTTTCTCTTGATTATAGCCAAAAAAATCTCTGAGATCATTTAAATTGTAAAAGTAAAATCCAATGTATTAGCTAACCATTGCTGTTTTCATTTGTGTTCTTTAGCAATGAAACTTGGACCAGAAGCTTTCAGATTTGATGGTGGAGTGGAAGCTATTGCTACAAGGCAGAGTGAAAAATATTACATCTTGAGACCTGAAGTGATTGAGACTTATATGTACATGTGGAGATTAACCCATGATCCAAAGTACAGAAAATGGGCCTGGGAAGCTGTTGAGGTACTGTCTTCATTTTAATTTCTGTATATTTATGTTATCTTTTGTGATTTTTTGTTATGAATTTGGCAAACATGAATATTTTTGTATACAGTGAACACGGAGAGGCTTACATATTAAACCATGAATTTCTTTTATTCTTATTTTGAAGTGTGTGTGTGTGTGTAATACATTTAGCATGGTAATACCAACATTGGCCTGCTTGCCTGTCTACAACTCTTCTGAATCTATCCTGAGTATTTTTTAAAATGTTCAGTTGACAGACTTTTTTTTTTGCATCATTATCATTACTTATCTACATTATTGTAGTCATTGTACATTCTCATGGGTCTGGTATTTTCACTGTCTCTGTTCATACAGGTTTTCCAAGTTGTATATTTTTGTTTTTAAAGCATAAACATGTCAGGAAATACTAAGGAATTTTAAGGATCTTACCTGGTGCCTTATCTACTTTTTCTCCCAATTTCACTTTAAAATATTCTCAGCAGTAAAGGTATCAAACTCAAACAGAAACATGGGGCCCTAAACTATACTTAAGAATCTCTGAGGGCTGCATATTCATTTAGAAAATCATATATTTACATTATCTATGTTTTATTGTACCTCAATTAATTTTGTTCAATATTTCTCATTTATATTTTAATCTTATTTGAGCCATACTTGGGAATGTTGTGGTTAATCTGTAGATTAGGTACTTGGTTTTTCATGCACATGAAAAAGTGAAAAAAAATGTTTTTTTTAATTCTGTAGTGTCCAGTGACCCAAGACCCCCCCACATGATGCCACTTTTTCTTTTTCCATCAGCAAATCAAGGATTTAGCATTCTTGTTTTGTCTGTAGATTTTTCCTGCTACCATCTACATAAGGCTCACTGTCATGCAAACTTTCTTAAATTTATGATGTTGGGGTTTTTTTTCAAAAGATTTACTACTAAGCAGCTAGATAACATAGAAATAGAGAGCTGAAAACTTAGAATCAGGAAGACCTGAGTTCAAATTTGGCCTCAAACATCTAACTAGCTATGACTTGGGCCTCTTTCAACTCAGGTTCCTTATCTGTAAAATAGAGATAATTATAGTACTTAGCTTACAGAGTTGTTGTAAGAATCAAATGAGATAACAAATGTACAAACCTTCAAGTATCATATAGTTGCTAGCTATTAGTAGTGTTATATGTATGAGGGAAAGAGGTTTTTAGTAAATTAAAGGTTTACAAGTTATAGCTGCCTTATGAGTTAACCTTAGTCCTAAATGCCAACTACAGACAGCTCTACCTATTCTTTTAGCTCTTATCTTCTTTCCATATTGATCCCATTCTATTAGGTATATGAGTTCTTGCTCTTCTAGCTAGGGAACTCATTTAATAAAACCAGCTCAGTCTTCCAGAATCTACTTCCCCCAACCCTGGGTTCCGGAGGGTAGGAAGCCAGGCCAGTACAGATGTTCTACATATACCTTTCTGAAGGGCTCTAGACCTAATGCCCTGGTTTGGCAACATATGTCTTTCCACATACTCTTTGGCCATGGATCTAAGGAAATAATGCCGTGTACTATGACTTTTTATAGAAAAAAATTTTTTTTAATTTCTTCATTTAGTCTCTCAAGCTTTCTTATTCTGTGCTTCAGGTCTTTAAGCTCCCTTCTAAAGATCTCAGTGTTGTTGTTCAGTTGTTTCCATCTTGTCCAACTCTTTATGACCCCATATAGAGTTTTCTTGGCATGGATACCGGAATGGTTTGCCTTTTCCTTCTCCAGCTTATTTAACAGATGAGGAAATTGAGGCACACAGAGTTAAATGACTTGCCCAGGGTCACACAGCTGTTAAGTGTTTGAGGTCAGATTTGAACTCAAATCTTCTTGACTCCAGGTCTGCTGCTCTATCCACTAAGCCACCTAGCTGTCCTAAAGGCCTCAGCTCTAAAAGTTCTTCTTTCCTCCTCCACCCACCCTCTCTATTTCTGATAGGATTGCCTAGTGCAAATACCTTAACCACTTATAATGGGTAGCTCTGCCTTTCATGGTTATGCTGCTTCATCTACCATCTGATATTTGGGTCTTTACCCAGAATCATAAAGCTAGGCCTTCCTGGTCATGTCCCCCCTGACTTAGCTAAGCTGCTCTTTTAGAAGGTCTTCTAGGTTAACTTTTGGTCCTTATTTCTTATCCTGCACCCAAGTTACCCTCCTCCTGCTCAATTCTCATAGGCTTAGTTGAGATGACAGATATGACCTGGAGCCAATGACTACTGAATACCTGTTCCAGGCCCAACTGTCCACTCTAACTCCTCTCTCTTTTTCTCAGGGACTTCACATGTCTCATGTCCTCCCTCCATCTCCCCAATAAGTAATGTTGTTTTTTAAAAATTGTTTTAACCCTTAGTAGCCATTAATATTCCTTCTCTGCTCTTTCTCCCCACACTTAAAAAAAAATTCAGTAAATATTTAATAAACACTATGTTCCAGCCACTGTGCTAAGCACTGGGGATAAAAATAAGAAAAAGTTGACGGTCCCTGCCCTCAAAGAACATATGGTCTAATAAGAGGAGACAACACACAAAAGGAAACTAAAAACCAGGATGGGGGTAGGGGAGTTCATCATGGGAAGTGTTATCCGTGAAGTCAAAGCAAGCCCAGAAGAGTTGCTGAAAGAAAATGGAGTTACCAAGGAAGGTTGTGAGCCCTTTCTAAAGGAAGGCTTTGGGAAGAGTTTAGCACTCTTCCCTTCAATCAAAGGGGAAAGGCAACTGAGGCAGAGTTGAGAAGCTATAGAGTATCCAAACCTGAATCATTCTTCATAGTCATGAGATTTCAAATGATCAGCTTGTCCTGAGGAGGAAGGCATATCGTTCCCTGAGTTGAAACCAAGAAGAGCTGCTTTCTCCACTGCACCCAAAAAAAAAAATCAGAGTCTTGCAAAATACCTAGCAGAGTTAAGAGCAACAGCTAAGCATTGGTTTCTTCAGATTATGCCGCCAGTTATTTCTCCAATGTCTGTTTTTAGATCTTTTGACACTCAGACTGTGGGCCTGATAAACTCCTAGTCCTTAGGTTTTTATAGTAACAGAAGTGATGGCTTAAATTCACCCAAAGATTTTCAAGAAGGAAACCATTAATCCTGAAGCATCTTCCTCAGTGGTGTAAATATCCTGATTTCCTTTACAGATTCCCTTTAAAGTAATAAACCTCATTCATCAAGGGATCCAACGGTATTTTTCCCCTGTCCTTTAGCATTAGTGTATGAAAAAATGCCTAGACTGGTAGATTAAGAGATTGAGATCTGGAAGGCACCTAAGAAGTCATCTCGTCCAATCCCCTTGTTTTACAGATGAAAGAACTAAGGCACAGAAAAGTGAAGTCACTTGTCTATGGTCACACAGGTAGTGTCAGAACTGGGATTTGACCCTAGGTTGTACAACTTCAAATCCCACACTCTTTTCAAATGCAGTTCTTGCTGCCTTATTTCTATACCATTCTTTACTATGTAGGGTATTGGGTAACCCAAATAAGAATTTATGGCTACCTATGTTTCTTCACAAATCAATAGCATCAGGATCTTTTCAGATGGGAGTTTCACTCCTAGTTTAAAAAAAGAAAAGAAAAACAACATTTGTGTTTGGCAACTGTAACTGGCATTAGCATGACACTCTTTCTTCCCTGGGACAGTTTTCTCCAAACAAATCATCTTCCATATTAGGACGTTTTTATTCTCCTTATAACTAGTTCTATAGATTGGACATGCATATCTGAAATAAAAGATAGGTATTATGAACAAACTGAAAATGAATATAACTTGACCTAAGACCACCAAAACAAAATACGATTTTTATGTTTTTATGATTTTTAAAGTTTTCTGCCTCCTGATTGAAAGTATTGATGTTTTAGTGTTGTCCTTCTGCCATATTTTAAGAATTAAAACCAGATTACTGATGTCACAGTCTGTGTACAATGAAAATGTTTTATTCAACTGTGAAATTAAGATGATATGCTGGATTCCAGGCTTAGAGTCTCTTGTATAAATACAAACATGTCTGCTTAACTGCCAAGGAAATATCAGGGGGGAAAAGAAACATAGTCACCAGACAAAGCAATGTGACTGATGAAAATCTTAGTGAGCTTTAGTCTCACACCCAAATTTTATATCCTCCAAACTCCTATTTCCAGAACCTTCACTATAACTAGATGGTTTTCATTCCCATAAGCTGCTACATCCCCACCCCTCACTCTATACCTCCCACCTTTAAGCAGCCATGAGTTCACCTGCAATCACTATTGAGTAATGAGGACAAGACTACAATTACAATGCTCATTGAACTGTCCAGTAAAATCTTTGCTTCTTTCAATTCTGTTATCAGCATTAGTAGGCATTGTTCCAAGAACACATCAGAAATTGAAGTCCTTTTTTCTGGATACTGGCCTATTCTCTGGTCTGTTCTGTCCAGGGCTTGCTTACCATTGTCTAATAATAATTATAATAGATAATAATGTTCAAATCTAACCTCAAAAAACTACTGTGTAACCATAGGCAATCCTTATTAACCTCTGCTTGTCTCAGCTTCCTCATCTGCAAAATAGGAATAATCTTATCACCTACTTCCCAGGGTTATTGTGAGGATCATGAGATAATAATTATAGAGCACTTAGCACAGTGCTGGCACACAGTAAATGCTATATAAATGCTGGCTGTTATTAATATTGTAGATTCCATCTGCAGATTATCTCAGAGAAAAGAGGAACTAGAAAATAATTAATCCTTAAATTAAATTGAGAAGTGGAGTGGGATGGTGGACTCTCTACTTAGCCTCAAAGCCAACAAGACCTGGGTTCAACTCCTGACTCTGCTGATGTGACTCTGGGCAAGTTCCTTAATCTCTCAGTGATCTGTGCACTTCTGTAAGACTATATTTTGAGAGAAAAAAATATCAGCCTAAATTGGCAGAAAATTCTCTCAATTGGGAAATCGCAATTCCAGTTCACATCCCTAAAATTAAGTATTAGAAAAGTTATTACTTTTTGCAAATGGCACTTCTGTTTATTGGTGTGAGGTGTTCTAGTTATTTGTCAGTCAGCTTTTCCTGTTTATGATTGGCAGTGTTATAAGTTTTTATAAGTTCATCTAATGGATCCAGCTAGTTTAGATATTTGTGGGACTCTGGATTCTTTATGTCTATAAAGATCAAACTTTTCATCTCTCATTTACAATTACCTTTCTGCTTCCATACTGTTGACTGGCCTATGTAGATGAGCAGAGTTTCATAGTCAAGATTGGCAATGATTAAGGCATTGTCACAAATTAGGAGCTTTATAATAGAGTGAGCAATTCCAAAACAAAGGAACTGTATAGAGAGAAATGGGTGTGTGTATACACACACACACACACACACACACACACACATGAAATTTTGGAACTTGGAGAGAAGAGATTATATAATCTCCTTATTTTCCAAAGGTGGAAACTGAAGCCCAGTGGGGTTATCTGACTTGTTGATGTGGAAGAAAAATCAAACTGGGACTAACAGTAATCTCTTCTCTTATATAGCTCTTTTAGTCGTACAAATCACTTTTCTCACAGCATTCCTATGAGGTAGATAGCTCAAGTATTATAATCACTTTATATGTGGAGAAACTGAGGTTTAGTTGACTTAATAGTAACTTATACAGTGCTTTAAGGTTTTCAAAACTTGGACAATTTACTTTTTGTCCTGTGCAGTTTTCATTTTATGGTTTCTTGAAATATAGCTCTGAACAAAGAGGCTTTAATAAAAGCCTGTTGTGTTTCAAATGGAGCTACTTGACTAACCTTTAAACCCAAATCTCTCTGACTTTTATTGAATGGCCAATAACATTTCCAGCCCCAAGCCTCTGTGGCTCATTGTTTAGGTTTTGATGGCTTAGAATGAGTATAAATAGCAATTATTTTCTGTCCTGGTCAGAAACTCTGAGGATCTTCCCCTCCCAGATTGATATTTTTGTGACGGTAAGTTGGGCCATCTTTGGTCTCAATTCTTACCTGGACTTTAGTCATTGAATGGGTGTTGCCTCCTGAAAAAAAAAAAAGACCTTAATTTAAAAAGGCCAAGGTCACTTATTGCATCCTGGGCCATCACGACTTGTCTTGACATTTGTCTTGCCCCTGAATTTTGATTTTGACTGGAGGAGAGAGTGAGGCTAATGACTTTTCACAGCTCCTATTCTAATCCAATTCACACACAAGTGAAGACATCACCCTGACAATATCATTGGTCCTCTTTGAGAACATAGAATAAGCAATAGTAACAATAGCAGCAATAAAACCACACTACAAGTAGCAAAGGTAGAGTTTTAACTTATGCCTTCTGAATTCTATTGCAGCAGTCTTTCTACCACTATACTACACTCACTCCCCCTAAGCATGTAAGTCTACAGAACCAGAATTTTTATTGTTTGGTATCTTTTATTTGTGTAAGAAATCTATGTCCTACATACCTAGATATAGTGAAAATGAATCCACACAGCTTAATGATAGTGGTTTTAATCCTGAGAAATGCCATCCTGAGAATGTTCCTTCAATTTGTAGGCCAATCCCTAAGTACACTTCTTACATAGGATGAGACACATTGTCACATTTTGAGCTAGACTTCTAAAGCTGCTTAGCTTTTTTTGGTTTGCGTTTTTAAATTCTTATTGAAAACTTGGTGATAAGAGATTCTCATTCCACTTGAATTGTAATTAGATTTGGATCTGGGAAGCTAATAATAAAAATTAATGAAGGTTCATTTGCTTAAATGTGAGTGATTTTTTTTTCTCTTTCAAATGTAGGCACTGGAAAAACACTGCCGGGTAGATGGAGGCTATTCTGGCCTCAGGGACGTTTATCTAAAGCAAGAGAGTTATGATGATGTGCAGCAGAGTTTCTTCTTGGCAGAGACTCTGAAGTAAGTAAAATACATTCCAAAGTTAATATAATTTGTAAATATAAGTTAGCTTGACAAGTCATCTTTATAGATACTTATTTATCATTAAGAAAGGTAAAGCATGGTATGATTGCAATAGTATGGCTTTCTTATTAATGGCAAAGGCTACTATTTTAAACTTAACAAAATGAATTTAAATTGATTTTTAGAAAATTCTGTATTCCTATTAAAAGATGTAATGTGTTGACAGTTTTATCTGGAGTGTGAATCAGTTGGGGAATCCAGTTTATAGTGGTTAATATTACAGCTTCTCTGCCCATTCTTTCCTCCTTACCAACCCATTACTTTTGATATAGGCTCCAGGGAATTCACCAGGAAACCCTAATCTACATAGAAACTGCTACATGTATATTATGTCTTGCCACTGTTCTGTTTGGAATCTGAGTTCATTAATTCTGGAAACATTCATTAATTAATTCTAGTTGTTACTTATCCCGTTTCTCTAACCTATCCCTCCAACCTACCTCCCAGACTCCTGTTTCTCTAAATAAATTCCTGCCATCCAAAATTACCACCATAGCTATAAATATTACTTAACTCCTCTGCCACTTTTTCCTGTTCTCCTAACTCTCTCCAGCTAAGCTTTACCCTTCTCTGGTCTTGATTCCCCTGTATCTATTCTCCTGCTCTCCTTGTCCACTATGCCCTTTAGAAGACCCATTCTAGGATAGTTAAAAAATTTACCCTGACATCCTTCATATTTTCTTCTGTCACTCCAACCATATCACATTAAAACTGAAACACGGTCTTTCTTTGGGAACATAGCATCTCCCACAATTCAAGTTAAAATAACACATTACAATAACTATTTATCCTGTCACTCTCCCCAACTTAATAGACTAGGAAGAGTGGATATGCTTTTAGTTCCTCATAGAATTTATTCTGCCACTCAAAAACCTTCTCAATTGTGTTCTTGCCATCTAAGTATACTACCCAATTTTGTCACTGTCATATCCTGATCTCCAAGGCACACTATCAGTATTCATCAATTATTTTGTGATATGGTTCTTCCTCATCCCAATCCTTAATGACTTGATTATCAACTTCATGATATCCTTTGATCTCAGAAGTCCTCATCCTCCTTGATTCTTGTACACTCTATTTTTGCTAGCGATCAGCTAGCTGTTCCTTCTGTCTTCTTTACTGACTCTTCTTTCTCTTTATGACTCTCAAATGCCAGAATCAAACCCCCTTCCCCCAAGGAGTCTGTCCTCTGCTCTCCTCTGTATAAGTGTACTCTTCCTTTTTCAATCTCATCTGCTTGCATGGTTCTAGATCTCATCACTATGCAAATGATAAAAAACAAGATTTCTATCCTCAGGATCTTCCCTTGAGCTCCAAACTTGAGTTTTCATCTGCTTTTAGATATCTTACACTAGAAGTTCTACTGGCACCTCAGATTCACTGTGTCCAAATCAGAATTAATCATCTTTCTCTAAATAGCTTCCTTCTCCTTAGCTTCCCTGTTTCTGCCAAATATATCAGCATTATCCCAATCACCCATACTCATAATATTTGTATTGCCATTTTCTTATATTAGATTGTTAGCTCTTTGAGGGCAGAGTCTTTAGCATCACTTAAACTTTGTGCTGCCACAGTGCTCTGTATGCAGTGGCTACTTAAATATTTTTTATTTGGTTTTTAATAATCTCTTCCCTCTCCTCAGCACCTATATTCAACTTCAGTTTTGTTCAAAGTTCCCTCAGTTCTAAACTCTGAATATCTTTCACATTCTTTCTGTTTCTAATGCCTATGCTTTATTTTAAATCTTCATTATTTCTCAGCTGTGCTATTGTATTAGCCTTCTCAAGGGCTGCCCTTTCTACAATATCTATCCTCCAAACTAGCGTCAGAAGAATCTTCCTAATACACAGCTCTGATTTTGTCATTCCCATGTTCTGAAAAAATGTACTGTTAAATATCATCCAGACTCATTAACTTATTCAAAGCATCCTTTCTAGCATTATCTTATGCCATTTCCTGTCATGCACTCAGATTTCCTGCCTCTTTGGCTTTACTCAGACTATCCCTGAGGCATGGCATGTACTCTTCTCTTTATGATTCAATGCAAGTGATGCCTCCTTTATGAGACTCCCCAGGTCCTACATAACATATCTATTCTCCAGTCCCTTATAGCATTTATCACATACTTAACATATTTATTTGTGTATCTACCCTAATTATTTGCTGAATTATAAGCTTATTGGGGTCAGGGACCATTTCTTATTTGCATTCATGTATTCCCAGTGCTTTTGCACATAGTCAACAATAAATGCTTAAAGGGAATTGGAGCAAGTTGGAGTTAAGATCTAGTCATCATTATCTTGAATGTGTAGCCCAGTGCCCCATAGCACACGCAGTCCAAAGTTGGCTAGTTGGTGAAACCTGGTAATTAATAATCCAACAAAGGGTAATTTAGCTTTCCAGTATCTAGATAAAGTCAAGGAGGATTATAGACCTGCAGAATATGATAAATTCCATCCAGAATAGCCACATTAAACCTTTTCAGTGGTTTAGAACAACATGCCCATATATACAAACACACATGAGCCAAACTGTTCTCAAAAATTAGCCAATAAAAAGTAATGAAAGCTATGCCAGATAAACTTCTATAATAAAGCTGAGCTAAGGCAGGTGGCTATTTTAAGTGAGTCCTCTTAAAATTGCTATATATGTCTTGGTGGAGTCACTACACAGTCTATCATTTGGCTGAGGAATGATTACACTCTACTGAACTGATTTCAACTTACCAAACAAATAAGAAAAATTTAACTTGATAAGCAGACCAGAATACTTATGCAATCCAGTTGGCACATCCTTTTCCCAACAGGAAAATTGTTATTTATTTGGGAGTAGGAAATTATACCAAAAATGCAAAGAAACAGCATCTCACAACCAGTACATAAGGACAAGGAAAATGTTGGCTTGTAGCCTACAGTCAACTGCCATGGATTTCCACCACAGGATAATGATTGGAGTTAAGCATATAAGGAACAATGTCAGAATCATGCTGACTCTGGTAATTATTATACCAGTTGCATAGTTCTGCTTATTCAAAATGCATAGGAGAGTTATTTAAGTGTTCTTCAGGAATGATAATCTGAAGTTGGATCAAGTATTTAAGATTGTGATACCAGCCCATGGCAGTATTAGTATACTCTGCTGTTCTTATATCTTGTACAAATTGTGTGGGATTCCTATGGGTTCTTGTCTAAGAGACTTAAATTACTGGGAAGTGTAGGTAGGGGAATCCATGTTTGTGTTTGTCCCAAGAATGAATGAAAGAATCAATCAATTAAAAAACATTTATTAAATGCCTGCTATTTGCCAGACCCCTTACTGGGTGCTAGGGCCACAAATACAAAGATGAGACAGTCCCTGACCTCAAGGAGTTCACATTCTAATAAGAAGAGATAACGTAAAGATACATATAGGGAAATAGTGGCCAAAAAAGGGAGTTTTGGTCTGAGAAATCACAGGGATATTGAATGGACCCATAAGGCATTTGATGGTCAAATCCTTTGCTGTAGCAATGGTAGCATTGATTTGATTACAGTTCCCAAAACAAGAAGCGGAAAGTTGCTGAAAAGGAAAGGGAAGATAGCTATATGTACAAAACAGGATAAAAAATGGCAAAAATGCCCCAACTAGTCCCAGATTTTTTGGTGTGTTATCTGGACAGGGTATGAGGCATGATCTAGGTAGGACTGGTTAGATCTGGTATGTTAGCTAAGCTTGTACTCACTTATTACCAATCAGGACACTTCTGCCCCAGGTTGATGAGGCGTGCTCTCTGGAGATTGCAAGATAATGGTTTTTTACCAGAGAGCAATGTTCATTTTTTTCATCTTGCCCTTTGATTTGGGAGTCTATCTTATTTTAAGTCTTGTAGTCCTTTAATCATTCACTACAACCAACAGTATTTGAAATGCCAGTAACCCTATTTTGCAGCGAGACAAATAAATCTAGTCATTAATCAAAGTCCTGCTGTCATCTCTGGCTCCCTGGGAGAGAGAGAGATGCTATGCTACAAGTCATGGAACCAAGAAAGGGACATGCAGAATTCAAAAGTCTGTGCAAGAAACCTAAGAGTAGAGTAGGGGGCTCTTCCTTCCTCACTTAATCAGCCCTAACACCCAAGAAAAGATGAAGAAATCTGACAGAAAGGCAAGGTGTGAGCAACATACCCATTTATTTTTTGGACACCTCCTTAGGATGAGCTAGTGCTTGTGAATTCCCTAGAAGGTGATATTTCTTTCTTGATGTGTTTTTAAAAAAACTACTAGATTTCTGGAAATTTTATCACAAGTAGTATAACCATTCCAGCAACAATTTAGAGATACCAAAGCCCTTGTTAACAAAATGGAATTATTAAAATCAAAAAATAACATTTTAGATTCCGTTAATGATAAATGAAAATTTCACTTTGATTCATTTGGGTTGTGTAAGTCAGTGATTGATTATGAATCTTCTCAATCTGAGGAAAACAGGGAAAAATTAATTATTAACATTTTGGATAAATTTCTTCAGTCTTCAGAGGGGAAAGTACCAAGCCAAGTTTCAAGTCCCAAATTCTCTTTCTCCCTGCCTCCCCTAACCCCTCCTTGAAAAGGCAAGCAATTTGTTATAGATTATACACGTGCAGTCATGCAAAACATTTTTCCATATTATTGTCTTTGTTGAGTCATTTTTCAGTGGGGTCTGACACTTCATGACCCCATCTGGGGTTTTCTTGGCAAAGATAATTGGAGTGGCTTGCCATTTCCTTCTCCAGCTCATTTGACAGATAAGGAAACAGAGGCAAACAGGGTTAAGTGACTCGCCCAAGGTCACACAGCTATTGTCTAATGCCAGATGTGAATTCAGGAAGATGAGTCTACCTGACTCTAGGTTCTACACTCTATCCACTGTGCCACCTAGCTGCCCTATTTGCATATTAGCCTTGTTGCAAAGGAAAATAGATTAAAAAATTTTAAAGTGTAACATTCAGACTCCATCAGTTCTTCTGTGGAGGTGGATATCATTTTTCATCCTAAGTCTTTCAATATTGTCCTGGATCCTTGTATTGCTAAAAATAGCTGTTATTCACAGCTGATTATTGTACAATATTGCTGTTACTGTGTACAATGCTCTCCAGGTTCTTCTCATTTCACTTTGCATCAGTTCATATAAGTTTTCCCAGGCTTTTCTGAAACTATCCTGCTCATCATTTCTTATAGTACAATAGTATTCCATCACAATAACTTGTTCAGCCATTCCCCAAAATCTCTTTGGGATACAAATCTAGTAGTAGTATTACTGGGTCAAACAGTATGCATAGTTTTATATCCCTTTGGGCATACTTCCAAATTGCCCTTAAATGGTTGGATCAGTTCACAACTCCACAGCAGTGCATTTGTGTCCCTTTTTTTTCTCATATCCCTACTAACACTTGTCATTTTCCTTTTTTCTCACATTACCCAATCTGATAGGTGTGAGGTGGTACCACACAGCTGTTTTAATATGCATTTCTCTAACTAGTAGTGATTTAGAGCATTTTTTCATATGCCTACAGATAACTTTGTTTTTTCTTCTGAAAACTGCCTGTTCATATCCTCTGATCATTTATCAATTGGAGAATAACTTGTATTCTTATAAATTTGACTCAGTTTGCTATATATTAGAGAAATGAGGCCTTTGTCAGAGAAACTTGCTGTAAAAAAATTTTCCCAATGTTCTGCTTTCCTTCTAATCTTGGCCACATTGCTTTATTTGTGCAAATACTTTCTAATTTAATGTAATCAAAATTATCTTCTTATATTCCATAATGCTTTCAGTCTCATGTTTGGTCATAAGTTCTTTCCTTATCCATAGATCTGACAGGTAAAATATCCCATGTTCCCCTAATTTACTCACCATTTGTCTAAATCATGTACCCATTTTGACCTTATCTTAGTATGTGGTGTGAGATGTACCTAGTTTCTGCCAAGCTGCTTTCTAGTTTCCCCAGCAATTTTTGTCAAATAGTAAGTTCTTATTCTAAAAACTTGAATCTTTGCATTTATCAAATATTAGGTTACTATGGTCACTTATTACTGTGTATTGTGTACCTTATCTATTCTATTGATTCAACACTGCATTTCTTAGCCAGTACCAGGTTGTTTTGATGATTACCGCTTTGCAATACAATTTGAGATCTGGTACTGCTAGACCATCTTCCTTCAAATTTTTTTTTCCATTGATTCCTTAATATTCTTGACCTTTTGTTCTTCTAGATGACTTTTTCTAGTTCTTTACAATAAATTTTTGGTAGTTTGGTATAATGCCAAACACAACATTTTAAAGAAAAATGAAATTTATACCTTAATTTTTTTTTGATCTCTGTCATAGTCCACTCATTTTTTTAATGTATGGAAAATGTGAATGGGATACTGTAATTCCTAGAAAGGTTTTATCCAATTATCTGAAGTTATTGAGCGTAGAAAATTAAACATGGCACTAAAATTTCCTTATATGATCAAATTTTATTTATGTGAGCATGATAGTCAGAAACCACATGGGTTTAAGGAATTGGGATTTTTGGATAGTTTTTGGTTATTTGCAGAAAAGGTTTATATTTTGGGAGTTTTGCAATGATTAGTCTTTTATAGAAATTGCTTAGTACTCTAACTTTACACTTTTTTTAATCCACTTACATGAACATTATTTCCTTACATCATGAATACAAAATGTTGGCGATAGCTTTAATTTTTATGTCACTTTAATTAGTTATTTCTTCTAATTTTTTCCGGGATCTTGTAGGGCAATGAGAAATAACAGTGCAATTGATTCAATATCTGCTTTTTTGTCTTTATTTTGTATTTACTTGTATATGAACATTTTTTTTGCCCTCAATAGAATGCAAACTCTTTGAGGGCAGGCACTATTCCATTTTTGTCCTTATATCCAATATCTAGCACAGTGCCTGGCTCATCAGAAGTCTGTAAAAAGGCTTATTAATTAATTGATTTGCTCTATTTACTACATGATGTGAACCGTCTAATGCAGTTCCAATACAACTGGGTTTCTCTTACCAGATATCTCTATTTGCTGTTTTCTGATGATGATCTCCTTCCACTGGAACATTGGATTTTTAACACTGAGGCTCATCTTCTACCAGTTCTCCGCAAGAATAATCAGGAGGTGGAAGAAAATCACAAATAAAAAAGATTCTGAACACATTGTTTTGCTGCATTCCTTTAATTTCCCTACACGCCTTGAGAGTGCCCTTTCTTTTATTCCAGGCACATTGCAAACTTTTATTATAATTGGTGTGGTTCTTCTGAGTTCTAAACAAATTGTTTTGCAGTCCATTATGTTTAGTAGGAAATATTTGTAATTGGACTTAAATTCTTTATCATGTCTTCAGTTCATCTAGCCAATTGAGCCACTCAAAAAGAAGGAAAAAAAAGAAATTTGCCATCTTTAGAATTTATGAGGCTGTTGAGTCACTTTTGCCAAGCTGAATAAGTGGGTCTTAAGGTTTAAGGTGACCTGTTTACTATAATTTTAATTTGACTGCAAAAATTTTTCCTCCTCTATGAGGAGATAATGTCTGCTTTAAGCTGTAATATTTTGCCATGTTGCAAAAAGCCATATAAATTAATTATTAAAACAGCTTTTTTTTTCTTTCCAATTTCATGTTAATCTAGTTTGTCTGTTCACCCAAGATGAATCGTGTAACTGTGACAGCCTCTGATGTAGGTCTATCATTATTTGGTAGAATACCTTTTAAAATACTTCACTCACATTATAATCTAAATAAAAATCAACAAAGCTATTATCATCCCATGTTGACCTAATTTTCCTTAGAGTTGCAGTAGATTTTACTGTAACTCAATTGCATTAGTGTTTTTAATTTGTGAATTTTCCTCAAATTTTGTTTTAAATGTACTGTATTTGTTGCCACCTGGATCATTTCTTCTGTTTTCCAATATATCATAGTATGCATTATAAGGACAGCTTAGTGTGAGCAAAATAAATGATTTTGCAAAAGTCTGCTATAACTGAATTATTCTTTTTAAAAGGGAATAGAAATAGAAAACTATTAGTTTTTGCTTTTGATGGCTATATGAAGAAATACGGTCATTTTAAAAATAGAACAAGTATTTCATGTGACTTTTTATTGTTGATTTCTTTGCAATTAATCTCTGTGATTGTATTTTTTTGCAAAATATTCCATTTACTCCAGATTATGAACGAAGCTCCATTCAAAAGTAGTAAATTATTTTAATGTAGATAATGTGAGTGTTGGGTTTCAGCATCATTAAAGAAGATCCTCATTCTAATATTTATTCCTGGTCAACTGACAGAAAATCCAAACAAGCAGCTCCAAAGGAGCCAAACCCTTCATAATATAGTATTTCAAACATCTCAACATATAGGTCCCAATTTACTGAAGCAATGTATATCTGTGCTAAAAACCATGTCCATATTTTCTTTCTGTTTTACTCTATTCAGTCTCCCAATGAACTCCAGAACTCCCAAACAAGCTGGCTGTATTCTTTTCCTTTGGGGAACTAAAGTACATGATATCAGCCAGCCCTTCTCTCAAATTTAAACAAGATAGATAGTAATAACAATAGATGTTCTATATCGATATACATATGTAGGTATATGATTGGAATATTAATGTATAGCTATGACCCTGAGGCGGTAATGTATTTCTTTGATCTGCAGTAATTTCTGCCAGGTCAACAAATATGTGCAATCATGTGTTTGTGTGCACACACACACTATTTAAAAAAAAATAGAATCCTTTACAGTAACAACTGTTATCTGCCCTGGTTAAGCAATAGGATATTTTGGTTGATCAATTATTTGAATTGGTAATAATACAATAAACATTTAGTTAGAGAACTTAACCAAATTAACATGATTAGATCAATTTTCAATTAGAATAAAGTAAAAATAGACTTTAATAATGATAATAATTAACCTTTCATGATTCAGAAAGTACCTCATGAAAAATATCATTTTTCATCTTGGCAATGGGCAAAATCCTAATTTAGATCTTACTGAAGGACAGATAACAGAGCTTACTTTATATGATGTTCCATAAAATGAATCCGATTGAGTTCTCTTAGATGTTGTTGGTCCATAGAAATTAAAATTTATATGTGTCATTCAGAAGAAACAGATTTCCCAGGACATGGATTTTTCCAACTGTGTTCTTACCTGGAACAAAGAGCCCTCTTTGAAGAAGGGGACAATTTTTTACCCTTTCCATTTCATTCTTCAAATCACACTGTGATATAATTTCATTGATAATATGATTCTTAAAAGAAAAAAATGAATTTTTGAATTGAGGGCACTTTTTTCTAGAAAAAGGAAAATAGTTTTGGTTTCACCATCTCTTTTAGTACCATATTGTTTTGTGTTCATCAGTGAAATGGTCAATATGATAATATCTACATACACTAAAGAACCATCAGTTTTTAGACAGCTAAATTTTCAATTCAGACTTGTCAAATATACCAGGACAAAGCCATGTGCTTTAAAAGAAAATGAATAAAGCCACTCATTTTCTCAGGTCTAATTAGACTTAATGGATTCAATTAATGTTTAATATTAAATGTTTCCAAAGACCTCCTTTATCTGAATCATCTTTATGTAGTCTACTATCTTTTTATATCTTCTACTTATGGATCAGATAGAAAATACATCAATAAATTATTATTTGTATAATAATGTGTTTCTTAAATCTGGAATAACTTCTAGGTAAAATTTTAACTCTTTTAATGAAGTAAATACACATATAATTTATTATGGAAAGTGGAGGTAAAAAAACAAAAGTCAAAAAAAAAAAAAGAAAGTGAAGGTAAGAGATAATGCATGTATTTTCTTTTTTTCTCCCAAGCCTTTAAGATAATATAGGCAGGACTGTTGCTGAAATTGGGCCTTATGTGTTCAGATTCTAATTTTCATGTTAGTTTCCATAGAATGAGGAAATTAAATAAATGTATTTTCTTGATTTCAAGTTTTGATTTGAAAGAGCACAAAGCAGATATATATTTCTGCAGCAGATAGTGTTTTAAATTCAGGTTGTATGTAAAAACTGCACTATAATATACCTTTTGTATCCTGGTGTAAGTAGACAAGAAGATTGTAACACATATTGCTCTGCCGATGGCAAGGTTAACCTTTTGTAAATTCTAGAACTTGGGTTTTTAAAAGAAATCCCCAAACACCAAAAATGTATACATGATAAGGGATTAATACATGTTATTGAAACTTAGCTGGTAATTCTTAGTTTTGAAAGTTTTAAATGACTCAGATCTTTATGTAGACATTGCCTTTCTTTCCTCTTCAGCATACCAATGCAGTTAAGTTTACATATGTTGACATTTTGAAAGAATAATTTAAACAGCACCCAAATTTTGTTGTCATGAAATGGATACAATTTGTGAAATTAATATTGCATTTATCTGTTGTCTGGCAAATCTACAATACCCAATGATGTCTGTGATGATTTCATCATGTGTTACCCATTTCTATGCATCAACTGTGTTTTGATTTGTATATAAATCCATTTAGTCTTTTTCCAAATTTATATAAATCTCTAATGATATGAAATACATAATAGATCAAGACATACTTTTTAAGAGCTATATTTGTAAAATTTCTCTATGGTGAATAAAGTCTTTTAATATATCTTTTCATTTGTTATCATTTTTCCTACTTTTAAGTAAGCAGCTCTTAACAGATTTTTGTTTGTTTCTAAGCGTATATCTATACTTGCAATCAGTAAACTGTAATCAGTTAAATCAAATTAAGCCATTCAGTGGTAGTGATTTCCATACTGTGGCCACTTTCTCTTATATTGCCTCATTGCTGTCTTTGTCTTTGATATGATTATTGTTTCTTTGAATTTTTCTATGCAACATTCATTCTTTACATTTATATTATTTATATCTATATAATTCTAGATGCTTTATTTAAATTTTCTTTTTTGGGGGAGGACAATTGGAGTTAAGTGACTTGCCCAGGGTCACACAGCTAGTAAGTGTCAAGTGTTTGGTCTGAGGCCAGATTTGAAGTCATGTCCTCCTGACTTCAGAGCCAGTGCTGCATCCACTGCGCCACCTAGCTGCCCCTAAATTTTCTTGATTATATGTATGTTTTATTGTGCTGTGATCATTAAAGGACATGTTTAATACATACACTTACTTTTCTACATCAGTATGACTCATTTATGCCCTAGCACATGGTTTATTTTAGTAAAGTTGTCATATAAGGTACAGAAATATACATACTCCTTAGGATTCTTCTTCAGTAATGACTAAGAGTTTATTTAACCCATCTAACATCTCAGAAATTCTGTTCAAGTCCTTAACTCCTTTGTTTATCATTTGTCTAGGTCTGAAAGTGGCACATTAAAGTCTCCAGCAATTGTTGTTTTACTGTCATATTTATCCCTGAAGTTCAATTAGATTTTCTAATCTCATATCATCTGTTACACATATTTAACATTTATATTATTATCTATAGTACCTGTAAGTATATTGTAGTTTTCTTGCTTATCTCTTTTAATCATTTTAATTATGATTATTGCTTTGTCTGAACTTATAATTGCCAGCCCTACTCTTTTAGATTGACTTGATTCACAGTAGATTTCTACTCCTACCTCTCTGTAAATATTTCTGTTTCTTGCAAACAATATATTGTTGGATTGCTTTCTAATCCATTCTGCCACCTTCTTTTTATGGATGAGTTCATTCCATTTACATTCATTATTATAACTATTAAAAGTGTTTTTCACACCATCATGTCCTATTGTGATGTTTGTTCTCTTTGCCTTCTATCCACCTCTTTTCAAAAAAAACAAAAACAAAAATAAATCCATGTAGATAGGGACAGAAAGGGTTTGTGATAAACAGTAATAATATATAACTGGAGTAATTTGATTTTGCTTCTTTGACAGACCCAGATCACTAACTAGTTTACTTTTTATTTTCTTATTTTAATCCTCCCTTCATAATCATTCTCTCATAGTTGAAGTTTGTTTTGCTTGTATCTATTCTCTCCTAAACTCTACTCAGTCTCTTAAAATCCTTAGTCTAACCTCTGTGTGTCTCTGCTTATTTCCTATTGACTTTAATGTATTTCTATACTAAATTCTGGGTATGTGTTCCATCTTCCTTTGACTCAAATAAGATTGAGATTCATGTGATGACCACTACCTTCACTACATGTTCATGTATTCCTCTGAAACCATGCCCTTCTCTACTCCAGCCACCATCTTCCACCTCTTCCTACCTGGAAACTTGGACTCCACCTAGAATCACTGTGGGCTCTGATAGATGAGCATTTACATTTTCTTTCCTGGATCAAGGTCTCCACCTCACTTTCCAGCCATCTACAACATGTTGCCACCACGTACTATCACTCCACATCTTTTAGCTCCTCCATTTTTTCTGTCTTCTACCATTAGAATGGAAGGTAAATGCTGAGTTGCTCATTTTGTATTTGCATCCTCAACACAGTACAATGTTTGGCACATAGCAAGTACTTAATAAATGTTTTATGTATCATCTATCTAATCTTTCTAATAAGCTCCAGTTATGAGAAGTACTAAGTTCCTCCTCTTTCCTAGTGTACTCTTTCTGCTTTACTCTCTTAAAATAAATGAAACAGCACTAAATCACATGCAGGACCTAAGTCTTTTTCTGCTTCTTCATTGTCCCTTGAAGACAGTAGGATTCTGAGGGGACAGTGGCTTCTTTTTGAACGTAAATACTTGACAATCATTTAGCCCCTTCAAATTGCTTAAATATATTTACCTGTCTAATTCCCCTGTCACCTATATTCAAATTTTAAAAACTTTAACCTGCTTAGATATTCTCAACAGGAATGTGTAAAACACCCCTATTTTAGAAAATGTTCATTTCCCCCTATAAGATTATATTTAACTTTTCAGGATAAGTTGTTCGCAATTGTAAGCCTTTTTTCTCTTGCCTTGTGTATTATGTTCCAGGATTTCTTTTTCTTTAAATGTAGCTGTTGCATAGTCTTGTATGACCCTGACCAATCAATACATGATCTCTTTCTCCCTGGATGCTAGCAGAATTTTTTATTTGACCTAAAAGCTCTAGATTTTGGCTGCAAGACCTATATGGATGTTTTCAATATAAGGTTTCTTTCAGGAAATGACCAGTGGAATCTATTTGTACTTTACAATAGATAGTTCATATTCTTCTGAATTTTTTAGCCTTTTGATTTTGTTCTAATATTTTGTGTTGTCTCATTGAATAATTGAGTTCTTTTTGCTCCATTACATATATATTTTAGGGCATTAACTACTCAAGGAAGATTTTCTGCCTTCTGTTCTGTGCTGTTTTTTTTTTACTTTCAAGTGCTGATTTCATTTTTTATCTCCTATTACACCTCTTAATTTTTTTTTATCTGCTTTCAGAGTCTTTGTGGCTATTCTATTTTTTTTTAAACTTCACATTGTAATTATTGAAGTTATTTCCTTTCCCTGAGATTCTACTTGGGAATCTTTTAAACCATAATAATTCTCTACTGTATTAGTAGTTTTCTTCTGTTAATTCAGGTCTTTAGCTCAGTATGTTTATTTCAACTTTGTATTTACATTAGGCCCTGTTCCTTGCCTTGTTCATATGTAGGATGACTATTCTATTATATTGTCTCTTGCTGTAATCCTGCTGTAGGATGTACTGTACAAGTAATTGGGTGCTGCCCCTGCTCCATTCTAGATTTCACTGCTCCACTCTGGTTCTGATTCGGGTGAGTGGGTCCTGGTCTCATATCCTCCATTGTAGTCCATAGCTGGAAGTCCTAGGGGCCAAACCTACATCCTTCCTATTACTAGCTTGTGATTCAGGACTTAAACACAACTCACACAATCTGTCTTATCATTTTAGGGTGGCCTCCAACTACCAATTGCATTGGTCTTAGCCTTACTTGTGTAATCACCAGTGGAGAGGTTCTCAGCTTTAGGCTTAATCACCTAGTGCAGCCTACACTCAAGATCAAATGCTTTAAATCCATTTCACTTAATTCCACTCATGCTAGCTTGGCCCTATTTCTTTGTGCATTCACTTCCCAAAAGGCCCACAGCTTTAGACATCATCTCTTGGCACAACCTTAACCTAAGATCATGTTGAAATCTATGGGATTGAATAACTTAGTGGCATTTCTCTTTGGTTTTGTTGACTCTTTCCTTCATATGGCACTTTTTCATATTAGGTGTTTCTCAGGGAAGTTGGGCTTGGCTGAGACCTTTCACTTCACCAACTTTGTTGTAAGTTCCCCTCATTTTGTGTCTTCTGGACTTTTTGCACTGCTAAATAAGGTTGTCTTTATTTATTTTTTTTTCTTGCCCAGCCTTACCTAAAACATAAATCTACAGAACTGAAATTAACAACAAAAATCAGCAATAAATTATGAAAATCATGAAGTAAATATTTTAGTAATTGGGGTGGTTAAATTACTTAAGATATATAAAGTTCAAACAGTATCAGAGGGAGGGGCAGAGAAGGAGTAGGGGGAGAAAGGAGGAAGACAGGGTAACTTTTGTAGTCTGCAAGACAAGGAGACCATGAGGCAGACTAAAAATTTCTCCTTGAAGAAAATAACAATGCTGATAATATTTGATATGAGCAATAGCACCTGCACAATGAGACTGTAAGGATGGGGAGGGAGAGACTGCCAGGAAGTGGAGGCAAGTTTCACAAGACAAGTGCTCAGCTTAACTTTGTCCTCTGTGCTTGCTAAAGCACTGCATAAATATTATTGTTCTTTCTGTCTCGGTTTAACCAAGAGTTGGAAGGCAGCCTAAATTATTTTGTTTTGGTTTGATTTTTTTAGTATCTCCAGAAAGTTCTGCTACTTTACACTTTCTTCTCAGAGGAAATTTACGCAAAAAGTGAAGCCTGTACTTCTTTCCTCCTCTTTCCATCTGAGAGCCTGCCAGCCTTCTCTTCTCTGATCATGTTATGTGAGGGATTGTCAGGATTTATGAGCTAAGTTCCCTAGATAAATTTATCTCTTTGAGTTAATTTCCTCATTTAAGACTAATATTGATTAGAGATTTTGCCTGTGAGCTAACATTCCCCACACACACAATCTGTATATTTTAATCCTGCATATGGATATAGTCTTGTTTTAAGAAATAGCCTCTCTCTCTCTCTCTCTCTCTGTCTTTCTCTGGGCATGTGTGTGTGTGTGTGTGTGTGTGTGTGTTCAAGTGGTGGAGGAGAGATGAAAGAAAGAGATTTTAAAAAGTTGTTTCAAGATATACTAATTCAATCTAAAATATCAACTATATGGGCAGCTACAATTTGACAGAACCATCAAGAATGTATGTGAGTAATTCTTAGCAGTAACCTCTAAAATGTTGCCTTAAAGAAGAAACTTTGTTTCTTACAGTTGGTACACTAGATAGACAAGAGCCTTGAACTTGGAATCTGAAGATAATTGGCTCCTTTTCCAGCCCTAACTCTTTTTGGTTGTATGAGCTTGGGCAATACACTTAAAATATCTATGGGCTTTAATTTCTCATTTGTAAAATGGGGATAAAAATATTTGTACTCTCTGCCTCAAAGAGCTATCATGAGAAATCCTTTTGTAAATGTTAAAGCCCTCTATTAACAGCTAATAATAACAAAAATAGCATTTATACCACTCTATA